CACACACACACACACACACACACACACACACACACACACACACACACACACACACAATCACACTCAATCAATCAATCAATCAATCAATCAATCAAACCTTTTTTTTTTGAATTTCCTTTAAAATTTTGCATCGACATTTTTTTTAAAGACCTCATTTCCCTGCAAAAAACAAAAATCCAATTCTCAAAAACATAGAGGTGTACTCAGGGACCATATATCTCATGATAAAAAATGGCAAAAAAAAAATCCTGCTTTTCTTTATTTTATTTTTTTTAATTTCGTTTAAATCGATTTTAGTTTTTGATTTTTTAAAAATCTTAAACAAAGTCGGATTCCAAAAACAATACATAGGAGTGTAAAGTTTTTCAAGCCGTACACCTCCATATTTTTTTATTTGTTTTTTACATATTTTTAGGGGGAGAAAAAAAATATTGAAAAACCGGGCCGCGAACTGGGCCTCATTGGCCGCGGTTGCGGCCGAGAATCTCGGCCGCAGCGGCCGAAATGGCCGCGGGTGTCACATAGCGCAGCACACACTCCACCTTCCACATTTGGGTAGTCTAGCCAGCCGTTCGTGTCAGAGAAAGTCTGCCCATCACAAAAAGTTGCATATACATGCAGAGCATGTGGAGCAAAGCTCGCTTCCTCTACACATAAAGTCCCGCAATGGTTTCCTGGGTGCGAAAGATCACTCCCCCACACAACTGCGGAATAAGCAATACCAGCGCCTGCACGCGCACCGCCTTCACCCCCTGATGCGCAAGGACTGCTACCGGATGCCTGGAAGCAATGCGACTTGTCACACCGCCTCCCCTGCCACACCGTGGCTATGTGCACAGGCCGAATAGCAGGCAGGTTTAGCCTACACTGTGCGAGGGCACTGTATAAGCACCACTTGATATCTTCGACACAGTGGAAGCAGGGGAAGCTGCACCGCCGAGCAGCAAGGGACCGTCGTAAGCTGATCGGACCAGCCGTCATATGAATCCCCCAAATTCCCGAAGCCCAACACTGGAAACAAAAGAAAACAAAAGGAAAGGAAAAAAAAATAAAAAATGATGTGGTCTCGTCCGCAAACAGAGCAACGGTCGAAGACAGTTGTTACTCCAATGGACCCTAAAAAAAAAAAAATGAAGTTACTCAAAAGATAAAAAAAACATAAAAACAATCGACTCGACCAACGCGCTATATTTGGGGTTACTTTTGTGTGACTCGAAACCCCTAAACAACACCACCCCGACGGCACAGTAGCGACTGTGTCTTTAGCGAAATGGGAACGCGGTGTGACGTGAAATGTCCCAAATACCCCAATTCGACCCAACCCATTTTCGCAATTTATACGGATTTGCTACCGCAGTGTGAGCGTGCCCTGAGAGAGTGTCAGTGCTCTTCTCAATCCGACTGCGTTCTGTCTAGCTGCTTGCTCAGATCTCTACACAGTCGACAGAGCACGGTCGGTACACCGCTTTACGGTCGACTGAGCACTGCTGGGACACCACTTCACGCTTGACCGGACACCGTCGAGGACCAAGGACCAGCCCCCCTGGTGCTCCGTTCAAGCCTTATGAAAGCACGATCATGAGCGATATTACGATCGGGTTCACGCTTGGGATAATTGGTAGAAAGAGCCCACGGCAAAACCTTTCCGGTTTTTGGATGCCCAAAACTCGGCCGTTTGGTACCACCGGCCCACGTGGCCACATCTCCCAGGGCCTGTTTTTACCGGTTCAAGAATTTTGGCACTTTTTTGTGCCAGATTCATGAACCCGTAGGACCCTTTTTTTTTTTTTTTTTTTTTTAAGCAAACACCCAATTTATGAAAACCACACGTAACTGAGGCCGGGGACCTCACAATTCAACCCGGAGTTATCTTGGCAGCCTCAGCCAGTTTCGGTTGTCTGTCAGCCCAACCTGACGCAAAGACTGAAATCAATCGAAAACCACAATTACCTTACCTAATAGCTCCCAGCAGACGACCACTCCGACAACCACGATGGCCCACATTGGTTCTAAACCGAACCTTCGGCCTCCAATTCCAACCAAAGCTGATGTGGGCCCACTGAGTGACCAAGTGAAACCCTGCTTTGAAGCTAACGAACCAGCCCACTAGTTGCCCATACCTACTAGTAATCATAACATTCATTCTACAATCAATAAAAATATCAAAATATGATCCAACAAACCAAAATCCCGCCCTGGTTCAAGAATCCTAGCAAAGAACAGGAACAAGAAAGAGGTGGAATGCAGAAGGAGAGTGGAGGAGGCGGAGGAGAAAATAGAAGGACATCCAATCTCAGCCCTCACATGGGCAGCGGAGAGAGAGAGGAGAATGACAGAATGGGATAAGATGCAAGATGAGAAAGAGAAAAGATGGAAGAGAGTGCTGGAGGGAAAATAAATTGTAGTTCATGATAAGATGACGAAAGAGACGTTTCAGAAGCTGCAGCCGAGAAGGACACAACTACAAATGGTGGAACTAAAGCACCCGCTGGACAACTCAGCCCCGGCTGCATCCACGGCAGCAGGAATGCTGGAGTATGCAAAGGTCTATTACGAAGACATCTTAACGACATGGAGACCACAAGATGACATAAACACGGATCTTACCGGAGTCTCGGACATGTGGACCGACACTCATGTCAAGCTCCAAGTGCAAGCTAAACTGGATCTCGACAGACCAGTACCAGTGGAAGAGACAAGGCAGACACTATGGAGCATGGCAAAAGGAAAGTTGTCGGGCATCGATGGACTCACAGTTGAGTTCTACATCAAGAACTGGAATGTGGTCGGCCCAACATTGGTGGAAGTGTACAACGAGGTGCTGGTGGGTGGCAAGCTAGGAGCAGTGATGACACATGGGGTTATCACACTCCAATTCAAAAAAGGAAACAAGGCCAAGGTTAAAAACTGGAGGCCAATCTCCCTCTTGAACGTCTCGTATAAAGTTTTTGCGAAGACCCTCACGAGGAGACTGGCTCGATACCTTCCGGACTTGATTGGTGAGGACCAGGGGGTGTTCGTCCAAGGACGTTCCATATTCAATAACATTGTCACCGCCATTGAAGTCTTGGAGGTGGTACAATCGGAGAATCTGGATATGGCGGTACTTCTCCTCCACCTCGAGAAGGCGTATGACAAGGTTGGTTGGACATTTGTACTCACAACACTGAGGCACATGGGTTTCAGCGACGACTTTTGCAGGTGGATCATTGCAATGTACACCCACTCCACGTCATCGGTAGCAGTGAACGACCATCTATCACTACCTTTCAAGCTCACTTGATTTCTCAGGCAGGGTTGTCCATTGGCGCCACTTCTGTTTGTGCTGCAGATGGAAGTCTTGCTGAATAAAATTAGAAGACATCCGGACATAAGAGGTTTGCAGTTAAACGGCCACGCAGAATGTACTGTAAAGGCGCTCGCTGATGATCTATTTACAGTTTGTGAAAACTCAGTCCAGTCACTCTCAGCGTTGAAGGTAACAATGGCGGAATACTCCACCTTCTCGGAAGCTTCAGTCAACTGGCAGAAGTCTACCTATCTCCTTCCAAAGGAGTATTACCTACGAGTGGAGTGGGGAATGAGGAGAGTGGAAGAAGGAAAAAAAGAGAGGTTCTTGGGAGTTCTAATTAGTCTGCAAATCCAAGGATCTATACAGGGAATAGTTCTTCAGCAAAGAATTGCTGCAAGATTAAACCTGTGGGGTCGAACATGGCACCTCTCGATTGTAGGCAGGGCATTAGTAGCTAACATGTCACTCACTTCTATCCTTTGGTTTGTAAGCCAAGTAAGGGAACTAGCCAGCGGAGTATTGGCGGCGGTACGCAGGCTAGTGGCCCGTTTCCTCTGGAAACCGACAGCAAAAGAGTCAGAGGGCTTTTTGGTGAAAGTAGCCTGGGAGATACTTACTTTCCCAAAGGAAAAGGGGGGGTGGGTTTGGACTGCTGGATCCGGAGTACAGGAACCAATCGCAGTTGCGGATGTGAATATGTAAAGCGGCGGTGACTGACTCAAGGGAGCACTGGATACTCCTAGCAGAGAGGTTGCTAATGGCAGAATGGCAGTTGGACCGCCCTGAAGACGTATGGGCATGCTTCTTCATGGAATCCTTCTGTAAGAAAAAATTGAAGTCTGGCTTCTGGGATGGGGTGAGGAAGGCATGGAAAAATCAATTTCCAGAAACCCGAGAAAAACTACAGACAAAGGAAGAGGTACTGGCGCAGATCCTGTTTGACAACCCAGCAATAACCAACCACGATAGGACCCCCTTTGCAGCAGACGGATCAGCTACAACATTTGGGCTCGCATGGGTCCGCAGAGGGGTAACAAGGGTAAGGGACCTCTGGTCGCTGTTGCTGGGAGGCTGGAAACCGCCGGCTGAGGTAAAACAAAGACTGAGGGGACTGCACAGGGTAGAGGACAACTGGAGATCGGTGGTCCAAGCCATCCCAGCGGAATGGCTGGAGCTGTTGGGACCAGAAGGGGTGGACCCACCTGACACATGGTATATGACTACGCAAGAAGGAGACATGGCAGCTGTCTGGAAGGTACAGGGGATAGAGCCGAGTGGTTTTAGACGGGTAGAGAAGTGGAAAGTAACAAATCACACAAATGTGTTGGAGAAAGTGGGCGAAGAAGTTATCATGGTTTGAGACAACCCTCCACAGGTTCGGGTAGTGGAAGCTGCAGGCAGGGAGAGGAGTGTCAGGAGGCCTACATGGGTGGGAAGAGCCCCATTAAGAGAACTCAACATAGACCCACTAGCCTGGGTTTGGAACGGAGAACCGGAGGGTCATAAAGATCTGACACTATATGACTACTCGGTGAACACAGCGTACGCAATCGCTGGGAGAAAAAGGAAAACACCGGCAGCGGTAGCGACAAGAAGGTGGCAGGCTCTGTTGGGAGTGGAACTCCGAAACTCGGAGAAACAGTTCGAAGATCTGTGGAAAATGCTGAACAGACTACCAAACAAGAAACAGACAAGCATCCTATGGCTTCTTTCCTTGCTGGTCACGCCATCAGCAGTCTGGCTACGAAGTAGAGGAATGGCTACTGACCTCCGTTGCAGACGGTGCAATTGGCCCTTTGAATCAACTCGTCACCTCTGGTGGGAATGCCCTGCTTCTAAACGAATTTGGAAGTGGTGGGAATACCACTGGAAAGAAATGGGAGGGGAAGGTGTGGACTGGGAAGAAAGGTGGGTACTGTTGGGCTTCCTACCTCCGGACACGGAAATGAACACAGGGCGGGGATATGTGGCTCATGTAATAAGAGGGGTGATCTGTGAAGTGATCTGGGCGGATTGAAACAGAGCCAGGTTCCAAAACAGACCAATGTCGGACGTGGAAATAAAATGCAAGATTAAATATGGAGTATCTTGAAGGTTGGCAATCAGTGTTGACTGAAGGAGGAGGGGGTGCGGTGGAAGAGGAAACAAGAGGCATTTGAATTGGTTCCTGAGGACGTGGGGACGGAAGAATCAGCTGGCAGTAGTACACACCACCAAAGGGCTGGTGTTCTCAAAGTGGTTATGGAACACGTTGGGGAAGGTGACTACAGGGGTAGTAACTTAGATAGAAAGTGTTGAACAACCTGGACACTCGGTTGCATTAATGCCACAGTGGGCGACCTAGGGGAGGGTCACTGATAGGCGGACCTCGGTCCATTGGGCCGCTATAGTCCCAAATGGCCATTTTAGGCTGAGCAGAGTTAGGTAACAGTAGTACCAACCAGTCACGAGTCTGTGAATTAGAACAGGGAAAGGTAGCAGACTCAAGCAGAGATAGAATAATTGAAATATCATTGTGAAGAACTGATTATTTTTACGTCATTGAAGGATAAGTGAAAATTGGTGTTTCTTAAGCTAAACCGGTTGATGCTGTCGGGATAACTCCGGGTTGAATTGTGAGGGCCCCCGCGTCTATGCATAATTTATTTGGAATGACAAAAAAAAATTTTAAAAAAAAAAAAAAAAAAAAAAAAAAAAAAAAAAAAAAAAAAAAAAAAAAAAAAAAAAAATTTTCCCAAAAAAAAAAAAAAAAAAAAAAATCCCGCCCTGGGGTCTAGTCCCACCTACAGCGTTGAGTTTTCTCAACGTTGAGCTTTCTATCACGTGCGGCATGGTGGGACGTAGCTCTGTCGTTGATGTATCATGATCTAATGGTGCTGAAATACAGGAGAATAACCTATTAGATTTTGTCTTTTTGTAGAATTTTTCTTTGACGTGAAAACCGTTTTTGGTTTGGGCGGGAAACCATTATGCGTTGAAAAAACTACCCTACCGAGGGCAGGGTAGATTTCTCAACGGCCGTGCCTTTCCTTTTTTCGGTTTTTGAGACATCATTACATCCTGAAACAGAGGAACTCTGACAACTGTGTTTGGTTCTCTGGCATCAAACTCGTTTCCTTCTTTGGGCAATGAATGCATTTGGCCATCCACGTTGTCCCTGTCCATTTTACGAATGGTGACCTTCTGTCCCCTCACCACGGGGAGTATCCCTTTTTCACGGAGACGGTCACTCCGACTGTTCCAGACTTTTTTTTTTTTTTTTTTGGAGGAACACAAATTTCATTATCAAATTGGACAGAGGCCGGGAATCCTCACAAACAACCCCGTACACACTTCTGGGGCAGTTACCCAATATAGGCTTTGCTGGAAACCGGGTCCAGCGTCCCAAAGATCTCTACTTTTTCGTCCCAACTCTGTCCATCATCTAAAAGTCTTCCAAAAGACACAAAAAAGCCACCCATGGTATCCCAGACAATCTTAAAGTCCTATTGCGCAAGGCCGCCTTAACGTCTGTAACTCTTTCCTTCTTTTAAGTCTAAAGCGACTCCATCACAGAAAAACAAGTAAGGAGCATACAAGGCCATCTTTCTTAATACCCAATATCTGCCGACCTACGGCGGATTCTGCCACTGTGCATAAGAAAGCTTATTGCCTGATGAGACAGACACTATTTTGTTTGCCCATGTACGGTCAAACCAAAGAAAACGTTTTCTCTTACTATTATGACAGCCTTGCCAATCCGCCGTTATCGCACGCCTGATGTTTCCTTTTATTTGTTGTTGCTACTCATATATTGTTATATTTTTGTCTCTGAAAACTCGAGCGTTCCTTGCTCGCCAGATTTCCTATAAGATGATACCTCTGCAAACCATGGTAATATAACCCCAACCACTGTCATAACCACCATCCTGCTGAGGTAGTATTCCATATAGTATCCAGGCATCCGACGAAGTCCAGGAGGAGGAGATCTTTTTCTTCCAGATATCCAGCCACCACATCCAAAGCTCGTCAGCTAACGGACAACAGAGCCATAGGTGGGCATTATTTTCCCATCCCCAGTCACACCTACTACAGGTCAGATCTATGTCCAATCCTTTCCGATTTAGCCAGATTGATGTGGAAACTACCAAAAAGGACTGGAGCCAAAGCAGACTCGCATCTTTTTGTGATGGCAACCAAGTTAATATTTTCCAAAAGGCACGCCAGTCCGGGTGACTGTGTTGTCCATTCGTGGCAATCTCTAGTCTCCGTGTAACTGTCTGTATCAGTTTCTTAGTTGATATCTCCCTCAGTTTCTTCATACCCACCCTTGGCTTATAGGCCACTAGCGGGATGATGGTCGATTTCGAACCTGTTTTGTTAAGGACCTTCCACTCCAGGGCCAATGGTTCCACATGAAAATTCGATGCTAGTCCCAAAAAACTTACCTGTTTACCATCTGCAGATGTCATTACCCTTGCTTCCTGCAGTTGGAAAGTAGTGGGTATGCGGTTCTCCCCTACTTTATTCAACCGTTGGAAGGCCTTAAAGTCCCCAACAGCCAGAGGGGTATTCCATTCTTCTACCCTCATGCCTGATTGCAAATCTGAACCCAAAACTTTCCAGAGCGTCCTTGGAGCATTATTTGCTAGCACCCATGTGCCCATAACCTGCTCCGCTTCTGTCTTCAGCAGATTGTACCACGTTACCGGAACTGCAACTATGATCTACTGTAAATGCTGGCAGACCCTGCGGAGCCGTGGCAACTTCCTTTTCAAATCGTTCTCTGAAATCTACTACTCTTTTTTAAAATCCCAGATATGTTTGATCTACAGAACCCCTTTTTCTATCCACCCCCTACCAAAGTCCCCGCCTCCTTCCCCAGCAGAGAAACATTCATGGTTTTTTTGCCTAATTAGTGGATTCTCGAATAGTACTTGATTAGCAATTTTTTGTTTAGATGTTGGCGTCTTGTACAAACGAGGAATCAACTTCTTCCACACTTGCAGTATATCCTACCACAGCTGGGACTTCAATCTTCTGTTAGCAAATGAGGGTATCAGCATGCATATCCAGACATGTTTTGGTTCAGCAA